GAGAGAGAGAGAGAGAGAGAGAGAGAGAGAGAGAGAGAGAGAGAGAGAGAGAGAGAGAGAGAGACGTGAGATTCAGGGCCTCGCTCCACAACTCTCCACATGCACAAAAGAAAAATAAAATTGAAGGTGTATCTTTCCATGTTCTAGCAGAAGATTCATTCTCATTTTGCACGTTTGGAGAGTAGTGCAGAGACGCCCTCATTCTCGTGTTGCACCCTCCTCTACACGTGCTAGGAAATCCAATGGACCGTTTCAAGTTTCAACTGATTTCTTGGCACGTGTAGTGGAGGGAGCCCAGCTCACCAAATGTGCAAAATGAGAATGAATCTTTGGTTAGAACATGGGTAGATACACAGCCATATTTTTTGTCTTTTGTGCATGTGGTGAGTAGTTGAGCGAGACCCTATAACGGGCATCGAACATGGGCCTCCCCCGACTACGCACCACATACACAAAAGACAAAAAATATGCGTGTGTATCTTCCTGTATTCTAGAGGAAGATTCATTCTCATTTTGCACATTTGGTGAGTGGGGCTCTCTCCACTACGCGTGCCAGGAAATCCAACGAGCGGTTTCACGTTTCAGCAGATTCCGTGGCATGTGTAGTGGAGAGAGCCCCACTCACCAACGGTTTTAAGCTTCTGTCACTTTCTGACAGATTCTGCTCGGGTATGAAAGGTAATTTTCTGGTTCTCTTTTTCTTTTTGCAAAAGCGCCGAGTTCTTGTTGTTTTCGAATTCCCGAAATGGAAAGAACCAAGTTCAGCCAACGCTGTCCTTCAGGACATCCGTTAAAAAGTTGGAACGATACAGAGAAGATTAGCATGGCCCCTGCGCAAGGATGACACGCATAAATTGAGAAATGGTCCAAATTAAAAAAAAAAAAAAAAAAAAAGTTCAGCCAACGCACAGTGCAAGGAACCCGACTGTTCAAAACTTGCTGGAGTGCTTCAGATCACATGCATTCACACAAGTTTCCCAGATTGCAATGTCTCACACAAAGCTCAATAGAAGATGAAGGAGAACCAGGAGCTCAACTCAATTAATCAAACCAGATTAGAGAGGGTACATCGTGAGTCCAAATGTACGACGCCAACCAGGGTTGCAATGCAAGTCTTCTTCAATCAACATGAGTTCCCAGGCCTGGCGCTTAACAGCACCAGCTGCCGAACATCAACAACAGCGCTCAATAGGTAAGTGTCACCATAGCTCACACCTCCCCCTCTCTCGTCTGCTTTCTTCTCTCTCTCCCTCGTGATTTTTAGTCCTGGTCTACTCTTCACTCATCATGCATGCACACTCCCTATCGCACGAGGATCTACTCTGAATACTACTCACTGGTATCTCCTACTGACTATCCCTACTAACATACTAACTAGCGCTGGCACAGCTATGGCTGCCTTCCCTCTAGCCAGCACTCTCTTCCTTCTCACATAGCGCTGCTCTTCAGCCTAGCGCAGCTCACACACATCTAGCGCACAAGTGCTATGGCACTTCCACACTCGCATGCGAAGTGACCATCTGTCAAATGGGAGGCTGGCCAGTCCTTTATAGTGCTGGACTGGTCTGGTGTGGCCTGCGTTAGCCTCAAGTGTGCCGGGGACTCCTGCCCAGTACCGATTGTTGCAAAGTGTGTGTCCCAGTATCTTTTCCCATGGTCTGCTGCTGCTTGGGCCAACGGGCCTGTCTTTTGGACTCCTGGTCTGAATCAGGACTGACTCGTGGGATTATGACTGGACTGGGACTGTGGCCTTTGACTCGTTGACGAACAGACATAACTTTTCATCGAAGAGACATGACTCTAACTCAGTCTTGAAAACTGTGTTCAATACCTGTTCGTTCAGGACCTGTTTGTGACTTTTCAACGCAACTTTTCACTTCATTATGGATGCGACATCTGCCTCAGGAACTTTGTCTTTTGGGTTGCTGCTCGTGAATTTAAGTTCTGGCTGACAGGGCTCCTCGCTGTTGGGCATACATCTGGGGTCTAATTCGTAAAGGCCCTTTTAACAGAGATTGCCTTGCGGGCCGAGCGCGGCCCCCCAAAAAAAATTCCTGTCTCTCTCTCTCATGTGTGTGCACAGATGCAGGCACACAGAGAGATCTCACATGTGCGTGCACATGCACAGAGATAGACAAATCTCTGTCCGCACACAGAGAGATCTCACATGTGCGTGCACGTGCACAGAGATAGACACATCTCTGTCCGCACACACACACACACACACACACACACACACACACACACACACACACGCACACAGAGAGAGAGAGAGAGAGAGAGAGAGAGAGAGAGAGAGAGAGAGAGAGAGAGAG